ACAAACACATCACACAAAAGGTCGAGCATGGTAACAATAAATAATCAAATCTGAAACTATTTAAGAAAGAAATGATTTTCAACCTACCTTTCCAACCAAGCGTATGCAATGGAATAGACCTTTCTTTTTTTCTTGTTTTTTAAAGCTGATTTAAATTTAGTTTGTGGTAACCATGATCTGTCGTAATTTTTTTAAGATTTAAGATAAGGTCCCGACAGCTGTTTCGGGCTGCTATGCCCTCATCAGGGAACCAGCAGTTATGTCCTGCCTAAATAGGCCTTACTGATGGCGGCGCGCAGGGGGCGACACTGAAGGACCTCAGACGGCACTGGCTAGTTAGGTTTTGAGGAAGAATCCTGTGCCCCAGCGTCCTAGTTGTGCACTGTCCTGTCTGGAGTCCAACCTCGTATCCACCCACCTACGCACCGCACGTCATCCCTATGTTAGGGCTTTGACGTCCCCAAGTCCTTTTTTAAGGTTTTTAATTTACACCACTTCTTTTTCAGGAGATGCAGGTAAGTACGGCGAGGAAGATCCGGAGGAGTTCCAATACCAGGCAGCCATCCCGGGGGAACCACACAAGGAGCAGTGACGACGACCACAGGTATTTGCCCTTTAATGACCCTTTTTTCGGTTCTGTATTAATATGTCCTCTTTCTTTTTCAGGACCTTCTAAAATGGCACTCCCTCAGACCTGACAATCATGTGGTTCCTAGCGTGGCCCCCTTTTTACCAACGCTGGACCTAGAAAATGGCACCCCCAACAGGTCTGGCATCTGCCCTCTGTGTGGCCGACAAACTTACTGTGGCCTCAAGCACTAACTCCCGGGGCCCCCCGGAGGCACCTCCCAGTGTCTCAGACCCCCCCCCCCAAGGTCAATCAACAACCATCCACACCCAATACATCCCCTTTGTGTCCAATTTCCCCTCCACTGTGTCCCAGATCAGTCCTCCTCAAAGTCTACATGGAAATGAGGGTATCACACTGGGGAATTGATTTATATAGGGGGGTGTTTTTTACCCTTCCTAATTTTAATTGTGAGCCCTAGGGTTGGTGACCCTTAGGGTTAGGCCCTGGGCCAAAATGGGCCTTAGGGTTAAAGCCCCAGGCTAAATTAGCCTTAGGGTTAGGGTTAGGGGTGTTTTTAATTTTTAGGACCCCCGGCTGGTTTGCCGGAGGGTCAGGGTTAGGGATTGGGAGGGTACTTAGGGTTGGGGGATAGGTTGGGGTCTGGGCCTAGTTTGGCCCAGATTAAATTTAGTTATGGTTATGGTTAGGTTTATGAATAGGGGTATGGACCCCATCCTGCACCCTGGCGCCCCAGGGACACAGTAATGCACTGGCCAATCAATTGGGTCCATTGGTGCATCAGCCCGCTTACGCACCAGCACATCATCCCTTTAAACAGGGTTTGGACATGCATAATTATCCCCATAGTAAAAATTGTCAATTCTTACCTGAATTCCTCCAGGGGACGGTGGCGATGATGTCATGGAAGGTCCAGGAGAACACCAGCACCCGGTAGCTGTTATGGGGAATGGTGGCCACTTACGGAGCCGACATTGCGACGCCAACAGGTTTCTGCCCTTCCATGAAGCTAAAGTACCCCGGTCCATTCTTATGGGGTTTCAGCTAAAATGGCACCCCCTCAGATCTGCATTCCAATGTGGTTCAACAGCGTGGTGGGCCTTTAACCTCAGCCTACGCCGGTCCGCCTTCTCCCAGATCTGGCTATCCGCCCACTATAGACTGGCAATCACCCGCGGCATCAACAATCGCTCACAGGCCGACCTCCCGACGGGCAATTCCCCGGGTGAGGCTCATCTCCGGAATCAATCCACTTCCATCCAATGCCAACACAATCCCAATAAAGCTAATTCACTAGGACTGTGTCCCACACCCTTCCTCTGTAGAGGTTAAAGGGATATTAGGATAGCACAGTGAGGAAAAGTTTTAAATATGGCGGTTATTTAAACCCTCCATAGATTTATATGTGGAAGTTATTTTAACCCTCCACAATCCAATATTTGGGGGGCATGTTAGTCCATGTTAGTTTGATTTTAGGCCATCCAGTGCCAAGCACCTTTCCACTAAAATAAGTTAAGTAGATTCTCACAGCACTACGTCCCAGGTCCTTCCTCTGTAGAGGTTTAAAGGAAATAAGGGTACCACAGTGAGGGAATCAAGCATAAATCCAATAAGGCCAATACATCCAGCATTGTGTCCCATGTCCTTCCTCTGTAGAGGCTTAAGGAAAATGAAGGTGACACAGTAAGGAAGTTAGACATTACCGCAATAAATTCAATCCATCCAGTATTGTGTCATGCATCCTTCCTCTGTAGAGGCTTAAAGAGAATAAGGGTGACACAGGAAAAAGATCCAATACAACCCCAATAAAGTCAATCAATCCAGTATGCGTGGCTAAAAGGATAGTGTAGGAAAGAGGGGTTTAGGTTTATGGGGCACTGGAGGACCTTCTGGAACAGGTGGGACCTGTTCAAGCCGGATGGGTTGCATCTGAACCGGAGGGGAACCAGTGTACTGGGAAGGCGTATTTGTAGAATAGTTGAGGAATGTTTAA